TATATATATATTCGAGTCAATTCGAGCTAAACACGAGCAAACAAACTTTTGTTCGTGTTTGCTCATTTACATTTCGAGCTTAAAAATTTGTTCGTGTTCGGTTCGTTAGGCTTAACGAACGAGCCGAAGACGAGCTGCTTAACGAACCGAACACGAGTTGTTCGCGAACAACGAGCCAAATTGACAACCCTATTAGATATTTAAATAGGTATGAATAAGGCTATGTGTATATATGAAAGTTAAATCATCCTTTTTTTTATATATTGCTATTTTAACTATAACACTTAAATTGTATCTATTTAAAATTTAAACTGACATTTATATATTGCTTCAACGTTATTGGCAATCAACAACATAAGCATTGTATTAATGTCGCACATTGATCATATATGCACTTCCCAAATGAAGTCAGTCGATCCAACTGAAAGAATTGAGGATAACCCAAACAAACTCGTCCGAGATGGTAAAGCAGACTTGGCAAAGACGAAGATGATAAACACTAGGCAACTAATAGAAAGTTAACAGATAATAGTTGAACAAGCGGAGAGAAAAGAAAGAAGTCCACAACTAAAATTGGCCCGCCACCTCTATTTTTAGCAATTCCCTCGCTGTAACAACTGAGAAAAAACAGTGTTTGGGAGCTGAGATTTGGGTTATAAATATAAGCCGGAGAAAGGCGGAGCGCATGCAAGCCGGCCATCGTTTTCCACCGGTTCTTATCTCCCCTCACCACTCTTAATTATATAATTATTTCTCCTCCCTCTCTCACTCTGCTAAACCTTCAATTCCAGTGGCACACACCTAAGGATCAATCAGTCTCCACAAACGGATTAATATATTAATTGAATTACCAGCGTCGGGATCAAAAATGGCTGGCGGAGCAGTCTTGAATGTCGCCGGAGGGAAGGATTATCCGGCGAAGATGACGCTTTATGTCTTCCTCACCTGTCTCGTGGCCGCCACCGGTGGTCTCATATTCGGATACGATATCGGAATCTCCGGCGGAGTGACGGCTATGGACTCATTTCTCAGCCGCTTCTTTCCCTCCGTGTACCGCTTGGAGAAAGAGAGGGCCTCCACGAACGAATATTGCAAATTCAACAGCGAGCTCCTCACGCTCTTCACGTCGTCCCTGTATCTGGCGGCTCTGGTCGCCTCCTTCTTCGCGGCGACTGTAACAAGGGTGTTCGGCCGAAAATGGTCCATGTTCGGCGGAGGTCTCACCTTTCTCGTCGGGGCGGCACTCAACGGCGCGGCGGTGAACGTGCTGATGCTCATCCTAGGCCGCATTCTCCTCGGAATCGGTGTCGGTTTCGCGAACCAATCTGTTCCCGTTTACCTCTCTGAGATGGCCCCCGCGACACTCCGCGGCATGCTTAACATCGGATTCCAGCTGATGATCACCGTCGGTATCTTCGCCGCAAATCTCATCAATTATGGGACTGCTCAGATTAAAGGCGGCTGGGGTTGGCGGGTGAGTCTCGCGCTTGCTGGCGTACCAGGGGCCATCATCGCTATCGGCGCATTCGTACTCCCCGACACCCCAAATTCACTCATCGAGCGCGGCCACGAAGCCGCCGCCAAGGCTATGCTTCGCAAAATCCGTGGAACTGATGAAATTGCGGCGGAATACGAAGATCTCGTGATTGCCAGTAATGACTCCAAGGTCGTGAAACACCCATGGAAAAACATTAGGGAACGAAGATACAGACCGCAGCTCGTCATGGCCATGCTCATCCCTTTCTTCCAGCAAATCACCGGCATCAACATCATCATGTTCTACGCCCCTGTTCTATTCCGAACTGTGGGCTTCGGCGACCAGGCTTCGCTAATGTCCGCCGTTATTACGGGTGTGGTCAACATGGTGGCCACCTTCGTCTCCATTTTCTCCGTCGATAAGGTCGGCCGCCGCGCTCTATTCCTGGAGGGCGGGGTTCAAATGTTCATCTGTCAAATCATTGTTGGCTCGCTGATTGGCAGCAAGTTCGGGGTGAGCGGAGCGCATGCGGATTTGTCCAAGGGGTACGCCGCCTTGGTAGTCATATTTGTCTGCATCTACGTGTCCGCGTTCGCGTGGTCTTGGGGACCTCTGGGGTGGCTCGTGCCGTCCGAGATCTTCCCGTTGGAGATCCGATCGGCGGGGCAGAGTATCAATGTCTCGGTAAATATGTTCTTCACCTTCATCATCGCCCAAGTTTTTCTCAACATGCTCTGCCATATGAAATTCGGGCTATTCTTCTTCTTTGCCGGCTGGGTTGTTGTAATGACAACGTTCATCTGGTTCTTCTTGCCGGAGACGAAGAACGTGCCAATAGAAGAGATGGTGTTTGTTTGGAAGAAGCACTGGTTTTGGGGAAAGTTCATCCCCGATGAGGCGCTGCACGGCAGAGGTGGCGCAGCCGCTTAAGTGAAATGGCTGATTGTTGTCCGGGAGCGATTGTGATTGTTGAAATCTTTTGTGTGGATGTTTATAAGTATGCAATTTATTTATTTGTTTTGGGGCGGGATATCAATATATACGATATCTATTGACTATACCATTTCATCTCTATGTATTTTCTTTTATGTTATTTGGCGAAAGAATTTTGCCGAATGGTTGTTCTAAGAATTGTTTTTTTGTTTTTTTTTTTTTTTGTTTTCTGAAGACAATATATTTTTGAAAATTATGGTTTTTACTATATGAATTCATATTTGAGCTTATTTGTCTTGCTCGTTGTATTATATTTTGCTTTGAGAAACGAGATGTATTACTACGATAGCTTGAGCGAGATAAAAGGTATAAATATGATGAATATGAGCTCTAACAATTATAGATTGATTGATAATTTACATACACAACTAAACCTAGATGATTTCTACCCTAAAAAATGAATTGCTTCACTTAATGACAAATATTGATGATTTTAGTTGTGTGTCGAATGTGTAGAATATTGATTGGAACTAAATGAAGAATTTCATCATGCCGCATTTGAGTGCTCATTTGAATGTCAGCAATTTCAGAAATTAAGTTTCAAAAGTTCTTTGAGAATCACAAAAAGAAACTAATTTATTTTTCCCAATGCTTCAAATAATAATAATTACAAAATCAAAAGGTTTCTTAGGACTAGTGAGCTATTCATTAACCATTGAAACAATTCAGACCGTCTTTTTATAATTATTAAAGCTAAAACTAGCCATTATCCAATCAAACCCATTACAAATTCCTATTGCATTATTTTTCCTGTATCAGGGTTCTAGAATTTTTTTTTTTCTTTTTTTGGCTCTAAGTTGACTTTTTTTTTTCCTGGACAAAATGAATGCTCAAACTAGATCTATTAAGATTGATATGACAAACAAATTTCATCATTTGACATCAATCTCGAAGCTCTTTTTTACCATAGAGACATTAAATTTCAAATTAAAAATCACGGAGACCTCATTTATCAGCAAGCTTGCAGCCAAACTGATCGGTTCTGTGAGACGACCCCAATGATACTAAAATCGATCCAGTTAGAGCCAAATCAAACCTAGATCTAGCTATTAAATCACTTTTGAAAGCTTTGGTTGGTCAATTGGAAGATTAGATAAATTTCAAATCTAACAAGCTTATAGTCAAATCAAGAATCTCAGTGAGGCGAATCCAACGGGAATCGTTCTGGGTTGTCTAATGGAGTGGTACAGATTTATGGCTTGTTTATAGGGGATGCAACTCACATACTCTATAAATAGAGTCTTGCCTCTTCATGAAAAAAAGGGAGTGAAGCCTAGGGAGACTAGGGCCTAAAGAAAGGGGGGTGGAATCCAAGAGTCGTTCTAGATTCAAATATTCGACAATATTCTTTACACTTTATAGTTGTAGACTACAGTCGATCACCACTCATCAGCCACTGTTGACTACCGCTGGTTCGTCCCTACTTGCCCGTCGAATAACTCTTCAATGTAACGACACACCCTAAATATTGTGTATTGTTTTAATGATTTTATACTTTTCTAAAAGGATTTTAGTTTTTTATTAGTTTTTCTTTTTTTACTTTATTTATTTTATCATTTAATTGTAAATTTCATGAGAGAATATAATATCCTTATTAAATGATGGTTTATGTCTTTAAAAAATCAGGGAAGCACACCGAGATAAAGAACCAACAACGACCCAATTTATATTACATTTTGTTTTATATTTAATTTTTAATCATTTTAATTTTTTTTGTTTTAATTAAATTTTGAAGTAATTAAAAGTTATTAGGTTTTGATATTATTTTTCCTTTTATCTTTTTTTTTTTTAGTTTGTAGAATTTTAATTTACATTATTATAATTTTTATTTATTTGTTTATGAATTTTTAAAGCTCATTTAATTTTTCCATAATTATCTAAATCATTAAAGGGTTATTTACCAACTTAAAATAAGAGTCACATATGGATGCCACCGCATCAGCGCCGTCTTCCGCTTTTCCAGATTGCTCTCCATGATTCACCACAATGATTGGCTTCTCGCATTGGATAAGGATCTCGTGTTGAACTATCTACATTTACTCCATACACTCTAATCTGAGCCATCCAAATCAATAAAGAAAATTGGACAGCATTGATTCATTGACTTCCATGGAATGAACAACGGGAGCCATCCTAAAAAAATCACATGATCCGTGTGATCTAGCATACAATGTAACGACACATCCCAAATATGAGATAAAGGCGCACATCGAATATGGTGTAATGATGCGCCCTAGATATATTTAAATGAAATATCATAATATGAGATAATGAATAATGATGTAACGAAGATCAGACGATAACTCCCTGCATCAATTGCTTACAACTCTTGTATTTAGAACACAACTTTTTTTTGAACTTCTGATAGTCATCTCCTTACGTCATATGTTGATAAGTGATGTCTTTGTTGCAATCATCTATCAATGCAACACCAACTACGATCTTTTTTGACCAATAGATACGATTGCATCCTCCACTATAACATACATGACAAACTACGATCTGTGTGACTCACTGCTCATGCAACTTCTAACTACGACATCGGTGGCCAATACTACTTAAATTTACTGCGAGACATGTTATTTAATCACATAATTGTATGTGTCAATCAAGTAATATAAAAATGCATATCAATTTTACAAGGATAGTATCAAAACCTTTATAATATGAGAAGTTTCAGTTCTTAAACTACTGAATATGGTTTGAAGTGATTTAAGTGCAAGAATGGAAATCGAACAGTCCTAAAAGAGCAGTAAATATAAAAGATAGTAAACAAAAATAATATGTAACATCTTTAAGAGTTTCAAAGGCGATGAGACTTATGCTCCTGTGACACTGGTATAGTAATTTCTTTATGTTTTATTATGTGTTCCCTTACATGATAGTTAACAACCAGAGAAACAATCCTCCTTAGCTTATGTCTAGGCCATAAGAATATTTGGAAACCATATTGCAGTTATGATGGACTGAACCATGCAGTGGGTGTCACGATTTCTCAGACTTATGTCTAGGTTGCAATTTTCTACTAATAATATAGTTGTTCCACTAGATTATTGTGTATTAACCTACTTATTATTTTAAGAAAAAGTTAGAAGTCCCATATCACAAAAAAATTTCAATGTTTAATTGATTCAATTAGAAATGAATGATGATCAAAAGGTTAACACATCAACATGCATCTTTCAAAAGCACAACAAATGTATAAAGGAAAAAATTCATAGAAAAACATAAGGAAAAACTATCTTGAAGTCTCAACAGTATGTTAGTAAACCATAAAATATGAAGAAAAAAAACTTGTTTAAATTTCATTGAAATAATTGAAGATACAAGTACAAGAAGGTACAAACTTTTAACCACAAAAAGTGCTTTCAGCAATACACGAACTTCTTGCTTCAAAATGTTCAAATCTCCACAATCTCTCTCTTATACAACACACTCACATACTCAAAGGAAAATCATCATAGGAGTTTCTCCCCACGGAAAGAGAAAGACAAACCCTAGAGTTTTATAGAGAAACTTTAGAACCTAATGAAGAAAGCATCCAAATACTACCTAACTCCCTTCATGTAGTGCTCCAGCTCTCCTTTTATAGATTGCTTGATTTTAATTGGTCCTTGAAAGCATTCATTTATGCAAGTTTATAAGATATATTTTATCACAAAATTTGTTGTTGTTGTTCTGTATTTTTGTTTGCGACGTGTTCCTCATCAATAATAATTATTACTTCATTAGAAGACCTCTTTTTTTAAGCTCCAATCACTTAATATTTTTACTTAAGCTTGCAAAAATTTTTATTGTAATAATAAAATTCAAACTCTTTTAAGGCTAAACTAAATTTTAATAAACCCCAAGTCTTCTTGGCTTATCAACAAGGGTTATGCAATAAATCACCAATTTTTGTATCTTTTTTTTTAATTACATGTTCACAAAATCTACATTAGGATATATATTGTCTAAATTAATGCTCAAGCTAAAACCTTATAGATGTCGGGATTTGTTGTGAAGAAAAAGAAATATCAAATGAATATATTAATGCCCTCACTAGAAGAAGAGCCAGAAAATAATAAAATATAGAGTGTATCTCTCGAGGTCCTTACTAAATAAAGACATTATCCGTTACCTATCATCCTTCCTACTTATAAAAAAAGTGGTCATACAAGAAGAAAAATGATTCCCCATGCATCACAGATCATTTATTTCTCTAATTTTCCTATTTATTTCTTCTAATATTTGTTTACTAACCCTTTTCATGAGAGTGTTGATCCCCGAACAAATTGGGATCAACACTAGGAATTTATTGAAAATTTTATTTTTTCAACGAAAAATATAGGGAAGAGCAAGACACTTGAGAGGAAAAAAACAACAATAGTTTAGAGTAGCAAGGTGACCACCACAACGAGCATGGTTGCAATGACGACAAGCAACAAAAAAGAGTTTTCATAGGTTTGTGTTCGTTCATCAAGGCCGAACACAAAGAACAAGGATGTTGGTGGGGATTGGGCATTCATTAGGGTTAGATGTGAACTATTTCGACCAAACACAACCATTTACAATAATAAGTCGAATGTGATTGGCGATGATGTTTTTTGTTTATTTGGTTGATATTTTAGGAGGTCATTTAAATATATTAACCCTCAATGATTCATTTTATTAACTAATGCGCATTAATTTCCCAACGAATTTTTACTTTGAAAGCTTTGTTGCCTAAACATTTATAACTAATCTTTATCAACTATTAAATGAAGTATCAAACATTTCTATAGCAAATCTGTCTAAATTATTTACAGCTGATTTGTAGCTCATTAAGAACATTGCTGCAATCTTCTACATATTTATATATAAATATGCCTGTATCTAAATAAATGAAATCTATAGGTAACGCATGTTTTACAATATACAAATATAAGCCTGAAATGTACATCATAATTAAATTATGATCTTATAATAAACATATCTACTATATAACAAATTCAGTGGCCCCCGAGAGCCCTTTTTTATATATAAAATCGATACAATGTGCAAACTCAAAGTTGGTACACTGCCTTGCATGATACAAGATATGAGAATCCCTTAAATTTTGATACCCTACCCCCATATGTATTGGGTCTCAAGGAAGTTGGCTTTATATGAAGTTATTTAGGTTCTTGACTCCAATCATTCGACTTAATCATCCAGTCTTGCTTGTTCGGCCTCGGTTATTCAGCCTTGGTCAGCCATACTTGATTGTGCTGGCTCGATTCCCGTTTCCATTCTCAGTTACTCCCGGTCACTCGCGATCATATGTGGTGTCTGGGTGGCTTATCTTGGAATGACCACTACGGATTAGTAGAATCCAAAGCCGTCTGATTTATGTGTTGAAATCCATTTTTTATGTTGTTTCTATTTTTTAAGCATCCAACCAAATAAATAAAAAATAATTATATATTAGTTCTTTCTATTTTTTAAGCATCCAACCAAATAAATAACACATAAAATGACTATAAATAACAATGTACAAGATTTTCTATTTATTTGAAGTAAAGAATGTGTAAGTGACAAAATTTTAATCTATATATTATTGTAGTTGAAAAGAATATTGAAATTAAAAGGGATATTTACATAAATACCACTTAATTATAATATGGAATTACACATCTAACATTTAAATTGTAAGTTTTGCACAAGTACCATCTTGTCTATGTATGAGTCTGTCAATTTTATTTTTTTCAGTTAAAACGACAAAATATTTTTGACGTTTTATGAAATGTAAAAAGCAAAATAGCTCAGATATTCAAATTCATAAGAATTTATTGGAATGTGAAAATCAATCCAGCAAAAACCTCCAAAGCAAATCATAGCAACATTCACCAAAAATTAAACCAGAAATTTTTCCAAAAAAAAAAAAGAAAAACAATAGCTTTGATCAAACAGCAACGCCCTTTCCGACATGCAGCGCCTCATCAGGGATAAACTTGCCCCAAAACCAATGCCTTTTCCACACAAATACCATCTCCTCTATGGGCACATTCTTCGTCTCCGGCAACAATAGCGCAATGAAAACAGTCATTACAATAACCCATCCGCCGAAGAAGAAAAATAGACCGAATTTCATGTGACAGAGCATGTTCAGAAACAACTGAGCAATAACGAACGTGAAAAACATGTTCACCGACACGTTGATGCTCTGCCCCGCCGACCTGATCTCCAAAGGGAAGATCTCCGACGGCACCAGCCACCCCAGCGGACCCCATGACCAAGCAAACGCCGCCACATACAAGCAAACGAACGTCACCACCAGGGCGGCATAGCCCTTGGATAGCTCGGTGTGCGCTCCGGTCACGCCGAACTTCGCCCCGATAAGCGCGCCGACTATGATCTGGCAGACGAGCATTTGCACTCCGCCTTGCAAAAACAACGCCCGCCGCCCCACCTTGTCCACCGATACGATGGACACGGTGGTCGCCACCATGTTCACCAAACCAGTGATAACGGACGACATGAGCGAAGCCTGGGCGCCAAAGCCCACGGTTTTGAAAAGAACAGGGGCATAGAACATGATCATGTTTATGCCGGTGAGCTGTTGGAAGAAGGGGATTAGTATTGCGAAGGTGAGTTGCGGCCGGTTTCTCCGCTCGATAATGTTCTTCCATGGGTGCTTCACGGCCTTCGAGTCGTTGCCAGCGATCACGAGATCTTGAAATTCTTCATGTATTTCATCGGTGCCGCGCACTTTGCAGAGCATCGTTTTGGCCGCTTCTTCGTGCCCGCGCTCAAGCAAGGAGTTTGGGGTGTCGGGGAGAAACAATGCGCCGAAGGCGATAATAGCGCCCGGGACGGCGGCGAGTGCAAGGCTCACCCGCCAGCCCCAACCCCCCTGGATTTGAGCCGTCCAGTAGTTGATGAGATTTGCGATGAGGATTCCAATGGTGATCATCATCTGGAAACCGATGTTCAGCATGCCGCGAATTCTGGCCGGAGCCATTTCCGAGAGGTAAACAGGGACGGACTGATTGGCGAAGCCGACGCCGATGCCGAGAAGGATGCGGCCGAGGATCAGCATCAGCACGTTCACCGCCACGCCATTGAGCGCCGCGCCAATGAGAAAGATGAGGCCGCCGACGAACATGGACCACTTGCGACCGAATACTCTGGTCACCGTGGAGGCGAAGAAGGAGGAGATAAGGGCGGCTATATACAGGGAAGATGTGAATAGTGTGAGGAGGTCGCTGTTGAATTTACAGTACTCATTCGTGGAGGAGTTCTTTTTCTGCTGGAGGTAGACCGACGGAAAGAATCGGAGAAGGAAAGATTCCATTGATGTGACTCCGCCGGAGATGCCGATATCGTATCCAAAAATGAGGCCGCCGGTGGCGGCGACGAGACATGTGAGGAGAACGAAAGGTGTCACCTTGCCTGGGTATTCCTTCCCATGATTCACTGCGTTTTTGTCCGCCATTGTCGATTTGAATCGAAGCTTGATGGAATTCAGGATAGAAGTAGAGGAAATCGGAATGGGGAAATGATTTGGTTGGCTTCATCTCTGTTTTTCCAAGCTATTTATAAGCTTGGAATGACTAATATTTGGATAAAATTTTTTGATCTCCTGTCCTATTTTATCGGACAAATCATTGGCTATTGTTCTTTCTGGTACCCTTTCTCTATCCATTTCTTTGTCAGCAATATCCATAAACTATAATTAGTAACTTTTTTTTCCTTTTTTTGTTAAGTGCTTATCTATCCATTTCTTTCAGTCATATCCATTTGTTGTAATTATTATTATTATTATTTTTTTTTTAATGATGTGATGGTGCTCCAATGTTTCATCGCTTCTCCTGTACTGAAATTTCTCAGATTGATAAAAATAAATAAATAAATAAAATAATATTTTTTATCTTATAAATGTAATTATACATAATATTTATTACTCTTTATTGAATAATTTATAGGATAGTAATGGTGATTGTTGGCCATAATGATTTTTTTTTTTTTGATTAAAAAAAAAAAAAGAATGATTAAGAACATGTGCAAAAATTATTTTTGCTATTTGTTAAAAAATAAATTGAGAAACAAGAAGCTAAATAACAATTTATAGAAATACACATCAAACGTATCTTGCAAGAATAGAACATTTCAACAGTTGGGCTTTAACTTGAATGATTAATTTTAAATTGTGCGAATGAAAGACTTTATAATTGAATGATATTTTTTGCCTTGGAGCTGCTAGAAAGACTCAGATTAAAACATCAAAAATAATGTGGGTTATTTACAAACATGATACATCGAAATGATCTCTGGATTGATCAAAAGAATAACTTTTTCATTGGCTAGAATTCGTTACTTGAACGAAAATATATCTTATGGAATCATATTGAATATTTGACAAAACATTCTGTGTTTTGCTAAACAACCAATCATTATTTACCAACAAAATATTGCACCCAATTCCTATTTATTTACATGTCTAACATCTAAATTTTATTCTTTACACTTATACCACCAACTCTTTCATATTGCATAAAAAATATCAGCATCTAAATAAAAAAAAAAATGAAATACACTTTTACAAGGAGTAACATGTCAAAATAGTCCCCACAAGGTCGTTTTAGTTTCAGTAATAATAGAAGTGACAAAATAATCTCCAAACTCATTAGATTTGAGCTAGAAATAAATAATCCCCATAGAGGACGACTAGAACTCAATGTTAAAATAGTTGAAAACGACATTTTTATAAACTCTGGGATTAAAACGACCCCACATAAATTGTCGGGGTTATTTTATCACTTTACCCAAATCCATACATAGGTAAGATGGAATACATGCAAAAATTGAAGTTTAGATGTTACATATGCAAATACTCAGGAATTGTGGCATGTACATATGAAAACCTGTATTAATTTTGAGCTAAGCACTGTATCTATGCATTTAAGAATGAAACATTTGGGAAGGGTTAAGGATCTAAGCCAAATTAAACAAGCATAATTAAGCTACGGAAAGAGTATTTAAGAATGAGATGTCCCAACCAACCCAACAAAAGAGGCTGTTTGGCATCCTATTTTCGGCATATTTAAACAAAATTTAAGCTTCAAAACAAGCCAAATAGTATTGTTTTTAATAAACCTCATTTCTAACTTTGTCATTGAACAAATCCTCAATTTATTACATCCCAACATTTTAAAAAATATAAACCGATTTTGGCTTTTGTCTCTAACGAAGTTTGATTGAAATGAACATCCAAACAATAAGTCAATGATTAGCTACATTTAAGATTATCCATTCTAACCATTTTCAAGTTTTAATCTTCATAAGATTTACTGAATTTTAATTTCTAAAAATTATTAAATCTTTCGAGTAAAATTCTACTTTTAATCAAATGGCTCCTCTAAGTCCCTGAAGTTTGCCAAGAATCCCTAAACTTTTGGAATAAAAAAGTAACATTTTATACAATACAGCTTTCAAACTCACACCAAACTCTATTTAGAACCTACGAAAAAAAAAAGAAAAGAAAAGAGACTTGATTCATAACCCGTAAGAGTATGCCGTATTTATACATATTTTGAAGTAATAAATACAACACATTATTTGTCATTCGAACTAATCTTAATGCTTTTTCTCCTACCGCACCTGCGACACACACAGGCATCACGTGTTTTACCTGACATTTGACTTTTCAATATATTAATTTTCTCAACAAGGTTATTTATTTAATTATTAAAATTATGTTTTTTTTTCTAACACACTCCACTAAACTTGTTTTGTAACTCCAAGAATGCTTCAAACCTTCCGAAATATTTTTTTGCTTCGGTGGCTTAGTATAGGTGTTAGTCGCTTGATATTGTGATATCGTGTACTTCAGCTCCCCTTCTTTTCTTGCAATATATTATCTTATATAGTGATAGCAGGCATCAATATATTTGCTTCTATTGTAAAAAACATAAATTTTTATCCATAAAAGTGTTGATTTATTGTTGATATGTATTTTGATGAGCATCTCTCATGAAATTTATTATTCTTTCAACAAAATTTTTAGCTGAATATTATGACAAACACACAAGTCATTGGAACATTTGCAGCTTCACAAATTGTGAATATAACAACATGTTGCTTCTTTGATATCTAGATGAAAGCAGTATCTCCTATAATGAACACAAATTTGAATATTAAAGTGTAAGGAAATGATGTGCTAGCTAAAAACAAAACGGTCAAAAAATATAACATGAGGCTTGGCCACTCAAGTGCATCATTGGGGCATCAACAGAGAAATTCTTTAGCTACCTATTAACCCCGTATTACACTAAATTACTTGTTTCACTGATAAATTTGAGGGTAATTCTATGCATATAGTGTTTTCTATTTTGACTCTAACAGAAGTTCCGTGCACCCCCTCTTCCTTGTCGCTACTTTTGCTTCAATTCTTCGCTCAAGGTGACTTTTAAGCTTTGTTTCATTTACATCATTGTCTTGTTAGTTTTTCTTAAGATTATATTGCATCTCCTTTTGCTGTGTTTTTTGATAAATGAGAGCATTTGGAAATGAGAAATGAAATCATGTTTTATTTTTAGGTGTCGAGGGGTGTTCTTGCATCACTATATGTTGAGTTTTCTATAGAATTTTCTCTTTCGTTAAGCGATTCGTTTGATTTCGAGGGGTGTTTTAACATACATGTTTGTCGAGCTATGTGATGAAGTGAAATTATGGGTGTGTTTGGGGTGATTTGCTTAATTATATGTCTTTTCTCTTGCGTTTGTTTGGACATGACAATGTTATATTTATATTACTTGTTGTTATTGCAATTTTTACTGTTGTGTTATTATGTGTTAAGTGATCACACTTGATGTAGTGTAATAAAGGACCTCCAACTTGTTTTCAACATTCCAAATTTATCTTATTGTTTTGTTTGAATTATTCATCAAACTGCGCACTTACAACTTATTTATACACATCAGGGCATAATTGTCATTTTTCTTAACAACAACTGCATAACAACAAATTATCCAAAAAGACAAACCGTTTCATCATCAATAGATTTCAAACAGTAGATGATCAACTGCTTATTTAATAAGTAGTCGATCAATTGCTTATTCAATAAATTGCAGCTGCCCCAAATCCATCCTCAGCCTTCAAGGCGTTGGATTTGACATGTAAAATCTGCTCTGTTTTTGGGTCGATGGCTTTTTTCTGCCATTGTAATTATCTAGCCATAACCTCTTTTTTTTTTATTTTGGTAAATACTCTATGCTCTTAATGACCCTAAGATTTCTTCCTTCTAAAGGCATCAATTGCTTTAGAATTATTTTATAATAAAAATTAATAAAATGTTTGGATTATTTTGATTTCTTATGTAGAAGAGATAGATTTTCTCTTTTTTGGGGAATTTATTTTAAAATAAACTTCTAAAAATATTAAAAATATAAGGGGCCTTCATATACTCAAAAACACATTTATTTTTTATTTGCATATCAATAGCTAAATATGATTTTTAGGATTTAAAACACAAATTTTTTATACAACTAAAATATTACTTTTATTAATTTCTAAAAGGGGCTTTTACAAAAATGTCACACAATTCTTATGAATTTACACATATAATTCCTACATTTTAATATTTGTATTCATAGCACTCAAACTTTTAATATCACATTTTAAAATATCTTTTTACTAGCCTTCTATAAATCAAATGTATTTTCTTTTTGCATGAGTTTATTGCATTAAGGCGCTACAAATTTAAATATCAAATTTGAGCTACTATTAGATATATAAGTTAAAAAGCATTGCGATGTAAACTTATCTTCTTTTTATAAAGTGAATTACATATTCTTAAGCATAGGTAAATTGGTATAAATATAAAAAAAAAATCAAATTTTGATATTTGATATGTAAAAAACATAAGAATTGTGTTATGTATGTGAGTCTTTCAAAATATAAATATTATTTAGATGATTTAAATAAAAATAGTTTCATTTGAAATTAATTAATTACATAAATAACAATAACTTTTTTTGTTAATTACACCAATTTGTATATTTGAGCATAAATTAATATCATAATTACTTACTACTTTTATATTATAAATTATTTAACCATGCTAGTATTTATTTAATTAAATAAAATCATAATTAATATAAAATTTTTAAATTTATATACTTTCATTTGTTTATATCAATAGCTAAGTTAATCCTAATATAAATTTGCATGCATACCTATTATATAGTTAGGAGTAACTAATATTACTGTTGACCTCATTTTTAGTGAGGTTTAGTTTTCTCTTAGGATTTAGGGTCTAACTTTAAGATTCTTCCTTCGACTATCTTAGACCCTTAGAAATTGAACCCACCTCATTTTAGAAATCTAAACTACTTCTATACTCTTTTGAAGTTCCGCATGCGGTTCTTGACCTCTAGCACGTAGGAGGTTGGTAGGAGGTTGAAACTAACATGAGGGAACTCAAAAGGAGTTCCTATAGGATCATTAAGCATTAGGGTGGTCTTTTGCACAATTTGCACCTTCGCGCGCACAA